CTTACCTGTGTTCTCAAATTCTTCACATTGATCTTTGTTCTTACCACAAAGGGCAATCCGACCTAACAATGACCAACAATGTTCATCATTGAGAACTCCTAAACGATGGATCATCCAATCATTCTTGATAAACTCTCCCATCATCATTATTGCAACCCTTTCGTTTCTAGTTGTCACCAAAATTTTGCTACCCGTTCCACCACTTTTGAGAGCGTTTTTCAGGGATTTCCACTTGGTATCGTCTTCTGTCCAAACATCATCCATAACAAGAAGAAACTTTTTTCCTGAAATAGACTCTTTTAGACGTTGCAGTAGCATTTCCAATTGGTTGGTCCTTGGGGGTTCATCCAACTTTTCCACACTTGCCACAATCCCTTTCGCAATCTCAACCTCGTTAAAGGGATCTGAAACAGATATCCAAATTTTTAACTCAAAATAATTCTCAACTCGACTATCGTTATAAGCTAGTTGAGCAAGAGTTGTCTTCCCAAGGCCACCCACACCAACTATAGATACAACGCGGATGCATCCTATTAACCCTTCTTCACTACTACCACCTGCACCGACAAGTTTTCTCACCAGAGCTTCTCTCTCTATGTCGCGGCCATAAACTTCCTCTTTGTCGATGGCAGAAGTAGTTTGACCTCGCCAAGATTCACGATCAGATGGATGTGACGTGATCTCATTAAAATGAAACCGATCTTTCTCCGCCAAAATCAGATCAAGCCGTTCTTTCACTTGTTTTATTTTCAAGGCAATTTCACGACGTACAGAAACTTTCTTGAAACATAAACACAAGCAAGGGATGCAAAAGCGTACCGTGCACTTATTAGGAGGAACAACATCAGCATCATCAGCAGCAGCAGCAGACGATTGTTCGACCTGAAATTTGAGAATGGAGTAGTTCCATTCGTCCAACACGTCATCCATTTCGAAGGTCGTGTTTTCGAGCCTCGTCAGCCAATCTTTGATGCTTTTTTCCTTATACCCCTTCTTTTCCGCATCTTCCAACACGTTTCTGACTGTGTTCAGATCAACGGAAAGTTTGAGAATCTCCTTCTTAACTCCTCTCACCAAATTTACTTCGTCTCGGATCTTCTCTTCCACGAGAGCTGCAATGCGCTGCAACACAACGGAAACGATAGCATCCGCCATTATCGCTCGCCAACAGTTTTTTTTCTTTTCTTTCTAAATTCTGTGTATATTATTTGGTCTGTGCCTTAATTCTTCCTTTCTCTGATGCTATCAATCAATAATTGACCAGGTGGAGATATATGCAGAAAGATTAAAAAAAGACTTGAACAACGGACACAGAGTTTGTGATTGACATTTCCCAAGTCAACTGTACAGCTGTGAGTGGGTTGTGGCTGAGTCATGATGAGTGCGACAATTATTTGGTCAAACTCTCAAAATTTTGTTTGCATTTTATTGCTCACATATATTTTCAGTTTTCAAAATAAGTAAATCAATATTAATGAAAAAGTATATCCTTTTGAGCAATTAGTTTTTTGCTTATGAATGAATTAATTCAAGAGTTACAAAATATTATTTGCAAGAAAATATATATTTTAATTTCTTAGGCAATATAAGAAAATAGGGTTAATAGCATTTTCCCACCTAGACTTTGCCCGTTTTTGCACTTTCCCACCTCAACTAAAAAAAGTTGCACGGCGGCACCCAAACATTCATTTTTGAGGCACATAACCACCTGGAGGGAATATTCCGGCGAATATTCTCATTTTTCAACGCACGCGCGATGCACATGCGAAAGTACAAGGGTTTTTTCGTCTTTTTACTTGAAAATATTATAAGGGGTGAAATTGAAAGTACCAGGGACTCAATTGAACTTAATTTGAAACTTTCTTTATAGCAATAACAAAGTTTCTTCTTTCCACTAGCAAATGTGCATTCTGCATCAATGCAGCAAATGAGACGTAAAGTAATAGCAATTAACATTTTCCTAAACATGAAATTCTAATAATCAAAAGAGTAAAAAGCAGTTTACCCCCTAAACTATGGGCCGATTTGCACTTTACCCCCCAAACAAAAAAAAATTGCACGTTTTTACCTAAACTCGTCAATTCGTTGCACGGTGCCCCCTGAACTCAATTTTCCGGCAATTTTGTCCGAAAAGTTGAAACATGTGACTTGCACGTGACATTTGCAGGGGTATATTCGTCCATTCACTTACATGCTGTATATTAAATATAAATTAAACAAAAAAAAAAAAATATATTGAGTCTTCTTCTTCCCTTCGCCCACCGTGCCATCACCATCCCAAAAAATCCATCAGCCACCGTCCTCCACTCTATCGCAACCACCGACCACCAATCCCACCGCAGCAAATCATCACTTCCACCTCTAAACTATTTCCAACTCACCGCCATTACTTGCCTCGTTTCCTCCATTTACCGATCGAGTCTTCGACCATACAAGTATAAAACAAATATTCCCCAATTTCTTTTTAAGAAATCACCATCACCGGCAAATCATCTCCACCTCCACCTTCCCCACCTTGATTCCACCTCTAAACTAATTTCAACCCGCCGCCGTCACCTACCTCGTTTCACGGTTCACAACACCGCGCCACAGGCAACTATTCCTCACTCTGTATTTTTTTCCCGACGCGCACTCTTCCAACTTTTATTTTCCTCCAATTTTATTTCATCATTAAACGAACACGCGAATTTCACTGAAATTAATTTATTGAAAATTTGTGCAATTGCAGAATTATCCCATATCGAAGCATTGATCGTGTTTCCTCTTCTGCAGTTGTAGATCCGAATTTTGGATGCATCGGAGCGTATTCATTACCTTCCCAATTTTTCTTTTTAAAAAAATCACCATCTCCGCCTCTGCTCCTCCGACGTCAAATATCCTAACCTCATCCCCATCTTCTTTGGATCTATGGGCAAAATAGGATTTGAAGACATTTTATTTGAACCGGATCTGAGCCGCCGAGGAGATGTAGTGCACCAATTATCGGAGATGGATGCTGCTGTTATTTTTTCGGCGGGGAATGTTATCTGGCTCGCCGACGAAGCTATATCCGTGAGAGGAGGAGCGGTGGTGGTCATCGGAGAATTTTGGATTTTTTTTAAATTAGTGTTTCAGATTTTTTTTTTTGCAGGCATGAATTGGATTTTTGGGAAGAAGATGGCTGATGGTCTGATGGGTTTTTGGGAAGAAGGTGGGTGATGGTCTGATGGGGTTTTGGGAATGAACGTGGGTGATGGTCTGATGGATGAAAGCTTTTTTTTTTCCTTTTTTTTTTTCTTTTTTTTTTTATTTTCTTTTTTATTTTCTTTTTTATTTTATTTTTTAATATTTATTTGCATTTAATATTAAAGATGCAAGTGAATGGGCGAATTTACCCCTCAAAATCTCACGTGCAAAGCACATGTTTTAACATTCCGGTCAAAATTGCCGGAAAATTGAGTTCAGGGGGCACCGTGCAACGAATTAACGAGTTTAGGTAAAAACGTGCAAAAAATTTTTGTTTGGGGGGTAAAGTGCAAATCGGCCCATAGTTTAGGGGGCAAACTGCTTTTTACTCTAATCAAAACACTAAAAACTTCAGCTTTGCTTCCGAATTCAATCCCAAAGTCACGTAAAAGAAAAAGGGTAAAAAGCGTTTTACCCCCTGGACTTTGGGGTGTTTTGCACGGCGCCCCCCCAGCTTACAAAATTTGCACGTTTTTACCTGAACTTAGGTAGTTGTTGAACGACGCCCCCCCAGCTTACAAAATTTGCACGTTTTTACCTGAACTTAGGTAGTTGTTGAACGATGCCCCCTTAAGTGTCTATTTTTGAAAAAAAATAACCGGAATCTCACACGTGCTTTGCACGTGTGAATCCAAGGTTTAATTTGCCTTTTCCTGTACACTTTTACCACTGTTCTACCTTTCCCTTTGTTACCGTTAGGAGATTCCTAATATTCCTCCCTTTATAAACCATTAGAAGCCCTTCTGTCCCTTCTCTATTATTGCCATTCATCTTCTTGATTTGGTTTCAATTTCATATGGACGCGACGTGCTATTGTTCGAGAAGACCAGTCATGAAAACTTCATGAACTGATCTGAATCCATGAAGAAGATACACCAACTGCGACAAATACCGGGTAAAAAATTCAATCTTGTTTCTTTTGTTTTATTTAATGAAACTGAAACCAAATCAACATGAAATTGGAAGAAGAAGCAACGGCAAATCAAGAAGAGGAATGGCAATAATAGAGAAGGGACAGAAAATTAGGGCTTCTAATGGTTTATAAAGGGAGGAATATTAGGAATCTCCTAACGGTAACAAAGGGAAAGGTAGAACAGTGGTAAAAGTGTACAGGAAAAAGCAAATTAAACCTTGGATTCACACGTGCAAAGCACGTGTGAGATTCAGGCTATTTTTTTTCAAAAATAGACACTTAAGGGGGCGTCGTTCAACAACTATCGAAGTTCAGGTAAAAACGTGCAAATTTTGTAAGTTAGGGGGGCGTCGTTCAACAACTACCTAAGTTTAGGTAAAAACGTGCAAATTTTGTAAGCTGGGGGGGCGCTGTGCAAAACACCCCAAAGTCCAGGGGGTAAAATGCTTTTTACCCAAAGAAAAATCCCCAAATTCATTTGGCATCCAAAACACAAAATTCAAAACACAACCCAACAACAAGCAAAACTTCAAAACAATTTCGAATCCAGAAAATCGAAAAATCCCATAGAACACACACGAAAACCCCCAAATCGCACCAATCAGAAACCCTAAAAATAATATCCATCATCACAAAACCAACAGCTACTGCACCGCGGCCCGTTTCAGAAACGAAATTTACGAGAAAAAGGAAATCAATTGCACATAAAAACGCAAAATAAAATCAGAGGCGAAGGAGAAAAGAATTGATTCTCAGCAAAACAATCAGCGAAAACCAAACCAAACACGTTCGCATTAACAGAGATGATATAAGAGAGTGGGGATATCAGTATTCAGTACTGAGTGTGTGTTCGTGTATCTATATGTGTATCTATACATACCTGTTTCGCGTATTTAATTATTTTTGCGTCGCGAGGGGTTTTGGGTACAGCCGGAGGAGTTGGACATTTGGACGAGGTGTTGGTGGAGGAATTGGTGGAGGAATTGGTGGTGGAGTTGGAGGTGACAGTGGAGGAATTGAAGGTGGAGTCGGTGGAGGCTTAGGCGTTAGTATAGGTGGCAGATTTGGTTGTGGTGGAGGTGGTGGTGGTGCGGCGGCGGAGCAAATGTGGTGGTGGTGATGCGGTGCCGGAGAGAGGAAGAAGACGGAGCAGAATTTTTCATATTGAATTTTTAGTAATTTGATATGATAATTTCAGGTGGTGGTACGGCGGTGGAGAGAGATGTTGGTGGCGGTGATGTGAAATATCCTGATTCCCCTATTTTGCAGCAAGAGGGAGACGAAGAAGATGATGGGTGGAAGTTGTGAAAGTTTCAAATTAAGTTCAATTGAGTCCCTGGTACTTTCAATTTCACCCCTTATAATATTTTCAAGTAAAAAGACGAAAAAACCCTTGTACTTTCGCATGTGCATCGCGCGTGCGTTGAAAAATGAGAATATTCGCCGGAATATTCCCTCCAGGTGGTTATGTGCCTCAAAAATGAATGTTTGGGTGCCGCCGTGCAACTTTTTTTAGTTGAGGTGGGAAAGTGCAAAAACGGGCAAAGTCTAGGTGGGAAAATGCTATTAACCCAAGAAAATATATCACCGTTTAAGTCTCCATTAATATATGGGGGCAACTATTTCAAATACTAAATTTTGCTTACTTGAATACTACCAAGTTTAAAACCAAAATTGAGTACATATTTATCAGTTTTTTCTTACTTTAATACCAAAATAAAAGGAAAATTACAAAAACACCCTTTCATACAAAATATCAATTATATCAAATTTTATTAGAAATTACCTATTCAAAAACCAAATAAAAAAAAAAAGAAAAAAAACCATTTGTTGTAAAAAAAAACCTCCACCATTTCTTCTCCTCTCCAACCCTCACCGCCGACGCTGCCGACGCCGCCGCCGCCGAACGCCACCGTACGTGCTCGTAACTGCCGCGACAACCCAATTAAACCCTATCTTTTTCATCTTCTTAAATCCTCCAAAACATCTCCAAATTCAAAAAATCAAAACCTCACAAAACTTATAAAATGGAGTTATAAGACAATAATATGGTAGTATATGTGGAAAGAGAAGCCATTAAGGTAAGTATCGATGTCTTTTTTGAGCTTCGAAATCGATTTTGAAGTTTTTTTTTTTGAACCCGTCGGCAATTTTCGACACATACAGT